AGTGATAGGTTAGGTAATTGACTTGATAAAATCACTTAAATTGGAAATGTGAACACAAGGCATAGTAAACAGACTAGTATACTTTTCTGGAATTCCGCAAGTCATCTCTTCCAGCTTCCAATTTTTTCTTGTCTTTATCACTCAGCTTTTGGAAGCCCTTTTAGCCACAAGGCTCTGAAAGTACAAACAACTTTCCTATTAACGCCATATGCAGAAGTTGGATTGATTGACAATGTAGAATGCTATTCAAATAACTCCAAAACATTAGCATCTCCTGTGGTCCCAATTTTTGAAATTTAGAACTGATATATTCTGATCCTTAGAAGATTTCCAAAAATGTAAACTTTTTTGAAGATATTTTCAATAGTCTGATACAGATGCTTTGTTTGTTCATTGTAGATACCATCTAATTTATTTTTTCACTGCAATTTCTTCAGGCGACTGATAGGTTTACTAGACCAGTGACAGAACTAGGAAAATCTTATAAATGAAGCAGCAATATATATTTTCTGTTCTGTTGCAATAGTGTATTTTCAGATGTTTCTCAAGCTTAATGACCTATATATATGAGCAAAAATTGCAGAGCACCTGGATAGATATTTTGTAACTCCCCACGTCAAGTATTATTTGTTCATTGCTGGAAAGAGTTGATATGGACAAGATCACATTAGTGTAAAGTTACTCTGACTGACAGGTACTCTAAATATCATTTCCTAATTTATCAGGTGCAATTTCCATGATCGGATAAAAAAAAATTGATATAAACATCAGTTCAGAAGACTTTCCAAATCCAAACTAGTGACTCTCCGAAGTTCATTCTCAAATTTAAAGGGTTGGTAGCTTGAGTTTGAAAAAATATTTAGTTAATAGTATTTGAGACCGGGACGTTGTACAAAGACCAAAAAAAATGGCATCCTTGAATTTTATCTGGTAAACCCCAGCTTTTAATGCCAGTGGTAAGAGCTGGAATGATTTGTTAGAACCGGCACCTTGATGTTAACTTATACGATGCAGACTATTTTTTATTCGTTAGAAATTCTTAACAGTGCAGACTTTTTCACTGAAAGCAACTTCCGTTGACCCCAGTGCCATAAATGGATTGTTTGTTGTACAGTAACACACCCATATGAACATGCTCAAGAAACTCAATCTATTATTTATTTATTAAACATATGAGTATTCATATTCATGTTCTTAATATTCAAATCACAAATTTGTTAAGGTAATTATCTCAATTATCTACAAAACCAATGAGATTAAAATCCTTTGTATCTCTAATTACTGAACACCTCTCATTATCAAACATAATCTTGGTTCTTTGTTTAAATGTGAGATTAGGAAACATTAATGTATAATCACAGTTTTTAAGTCTATATGTCTATTATTTGATCTGACGAAGTTCTGGCTCTTTATTACAGAAGAATATTTAACATGTTACTAATTGATCTAACAGGTTTCCATTCTGCAAAATGGCAAACAACCCACAAGACAGATTTGTAAAACATTTAAGAACATTATTGGTTTAATTAAGCAATTAATCAGTACCATTAAGATAACTGTTTTCACTGGATTAACCAGGAAGCAAACCCTTTTTGCGACATGTTTCAATAGCCTCCACATACATATCCTCTAAGTTGTACTTGAACTCGAACCCTAAATCTCTGAGCTTCTTGGACGAGAACACGACATTCTCCAACTTCTCGTCAACACCATCAAACCTGATCATCATTCAATTAATTTTTTATAGTTTAACTTTATTATTAATCAATTAAACATTTTAAACCGTGTTAAAAACTAAAAAAGGTATGTATCACTCGATTAATACTCTAGTCGATAATTAATTAGGCTATTATAATTAAGAATAGTCTATCATTAATTAAGTAAGAAAGACTTTGATTAATAATGTTAATTACTTGGTAGGAACATTGTAGTCTGGGTATTTTTGTTGTAGGAATTTTGCAACCTCAAGAATGGTGGCTTCATGAGAAGAGCAAATGTACCGGCCCTCAGCCTTTGGATTCTCATACAAGTATATATGAGCATTGCATAGATCATCCAAGTGCACAAACTGACATTGCCTCATAATCGAATAATGAGCTTCATTTCCTGCATACATATACATATATATATATATATATACAATATTTATCAAAATATAAATAATTGATTAAGTCATATAACATTGATAAACTTAAAATTACATACTAGTGACAGGAGAAAGTGCAGTAATGAGGCTAGGAGGCATCGAGGGTATAAGAAATGAACCGACTACTAAAGTGGGTATGATACTGATGAAATCAAGATTGTTATCCTCGGCAAATTTCCATGCTTCTTGCTCTGCCAGCGTCTTCGATACAAAGTACATCTGCGTACATGTTGTAAGATTTTAATCTAAAACTATATAGAATTATTCAACATATATCTAAACTATTATATATGCGAATAGGTACCCATCCAGTCATCATTTTGGCGCGGCAGAAATGAATGTCAGTCCAGCAAGTTTCGTCGTAGACAGTCTGTTTCTGCTCTCGCATGCTAACAGTTCCGGCAGATGATGTAAAGACTAATCGTCGTACAGTTTTTGCCTTCAAGCATGCTTTCATGATCCCTAACACTCCCTTTATTGTCGGTTTTATTACTTCATTCTGTCAAGTATATATACTCAACACACAACAAAATTAACGTTAATCTATTTATTTGTTATATTAACGTCAAGATATATATTTTTAGAATACTATAATATATATCTTGTATTACATCGGGAATGAAGATTATAAAATTCAAATTTTGATGTTGTCCCAGGCTTAAATTATGAAAAAGAAATAATAATATTGACTGAAACTTTTGATGGCCTGGCTGGTTATTATTAAGACGAATAAAATATTGGCGTATTAGATAATATACATACATATATATATAGATATATAACTTTTGGATGCAAGAAAACAAGATTAGGTTATGGTTTAGGGGGGTAATCACTACTTACTTTCTTGGCACTTTTAGGAGGAAAAAAAAAAGCTTATATACATAGCAACAAATTGTATTAGCTATAACTAATGATTAATTTAATGCATGATTATTTAACATCATAATGTGCGTGTATATATATATATATATATATATGTTGAGGAAGAAGGGGAGACCTCGGGGTCTTTGGACTCAAAATCCATGGGAGTGGCAACATGAAAGACACCGGTGCAGCCCTGAATGGCTTCATCAAAGCTTCCCTCATCATCGAGGTCTGCCTTCCACAAACTCAGCTTTGTCTTTGCGTTCGGCAAATCCAACAAAGTCTTCACCTTCTTCATATTCCCTGCCATTAATTAATATTTCATTACTTAATCCATACATATATATACGTACACATAATTTTATCAGTACACAGTAGCAACCAAGTGAAAGTGGAAGAGAGAATACGATACTGCACCAGGGTCCCGGACTGTGGCTCGAACCGCGTAACCACGCTCGAGGAGTCTCATGATTAGCCATGAGCCTATGAACCCAGCTGCACCAGTCACGCACACCGTCTCTCCTTCTGCACCTTCCGCTGCTTCCATACTTGTTAACACTTTAACTCTCTCTCTCTCCTCTCTCTCTCTCTCTCTCTATATATATATATATATGTTTAGACTCGCATATTCTTGAAGACGGGTTGGATTGGAGGAGTGATGTATCTCCAAGGTAGCTGATCTTTCTGGTTTCTTGGTGTATATAGTGAGGTTCGCAGCTTCTGCTCACAGTTGCCAATGACTATAATCCATCTGTCACCACACGTGAATGGTAGCTTTGACGTACGAAGTGGTTGTCCTTGCGGCAATAAAATAAGAAACAAAGCCGGCCGCTGTAGTCCTAGTATAATATACATATATATACGTATGCATACATATAAGGTCTTGCTGATCCCTATTGATAGTTAAAAATTACCCATTTATTAAGTCCATTCAGTCATTGTGCATATACGTATATATTGTTTATTGACGATTACGTAATGATTAGTCATGCATGGCTTGTAATTCGAAACTCACCGGTGAGATTCATGATGGAGCTTGCTAGCGGTTTAATATTGGAATCAAACAGTAGAAGAGTAGATGCCGGGTGTTGGGATTAACTCCAGTTTTTTTGCCGTTGATTGAAGCCATGGAATTTGATGAACTTTGAATTGATTAAAAAGAAGGAAACCAGAAGGAGTTTGGCTGGTAGTTAGGACGCATGGTTAGTGTGACGAAAACTACAAGCAATTACCACGTGGGTTTGAGTATGTTATAAATTATTTTTAATTAATAAAGTGTATAAATTTATATTTAAAATAGATATTATAATTATAATATACTTATTTTTAACTTTTATTACCAAAAAATTATGAAGAAAATTAAAACTTCCTCAATTACACTCTTGAAGTCTTTCAACCTATTTAAATTTGTGAAATATCTAATAATTTTTTCGAAAAGTAATATTTGACATATGAAAAATAATATTTATAATTAATAAAATAAATAATATATACTAAAGTTCAAAATTTAAAAAAAAAAACATATCATGATCCAAAAGTCAGGAAGAAGATCATGATCATAATCGTTCACGATCGAAAAATCAAGAAGGATATCGTGATCGTGATCGTGATGGTACCTAGGATGTCTCCAATATTAATACTCAAACTTAAGACCAAATAGTATATTACACTAATCCTATGATTTTAATTCTTAATTCTTTATTAAACACTTGTATGATTTTGAACCTTGAAATAAAACCATTTGATTTGATGAGTAATATTAAAGATCACACTCTCAAATGTAACTCTAATTATAATAAGATGAAAAAAATAATCTTTGTAATTTTGCAAGTACAAAACTTATAAAAAATTAATTAGTTAATTATTAATTTTGTAATTATAGTGAATTAATTTATTTTTTGTGGACATGAAATATTCTTTTAAGAATTATATTTTTTATTTGGTGATAAAATATATATAAAATTTCTATATGTAGAAAGTTAAGCCCAAAATGTATATGACAATTTCTTAATTTTATTGACTTTTAACTCTCTTTATAACCAATATATATATATATATATATATATATCACTTTTTTCTAGATGTGGATGGACCGATAGCAGCTGTACTGGACCCAACTTGAAAAAAATGTTAGTGGGCCCGAGGGGCCCAGTGGCACAAGATTATTTTGGATGCTCTTTTGGTAATTATAATAAACTTGTGGACCCAATTGTAATTATACAAAATTAGGTTCTTTAAAAAACTAAAAAATAACAACATAATAAATTAATGTACACATTTTATATATAGTCTTAATTTCTTTTTTTTTTTCTCTACTGAATTAACTAAAATAATAATCTTTTTATGTTTTGTAATATTCGGAATTAATTTTTAAATATTTAAAATTAATGTATAAAATATAATTTTTAAATTATTGAATTTTTATTTAATGTAAAAATTAAAAAAAATAGATTGAGAATGAAATTGAAAATAATTTTAAAAAAAATGAATAAAAATTTGGATTCTTGTGGTGTTTTTGAAAGAAAAATCAAAAATTGAGAGTCAAAACGTAATTTAAGAAAAATGTGTCACGTAGGACTGCCAAATTAGCAGCCCCGACAAATCAGAGCACGCCGCGTGGTAAGGAGCGCTAGCACGGTGTAACCCAGGAGGCCACACTGGGAATCTGCGTGCCAGCGATCGGATGGTCCAGATTTGTTCCCGTACGTGTGGACGGTCCGAATCCGTTCTCTCTTTAAACGCGATCGTACGGTGCAGATCAAATCGCGATGAACTGTTCAAATTCATTTCCTATTTAAAAGCGATCGGACAGTTCAGATCAAACGCGATAGACGGTTCAGATTAAAAAGAGACGGATATAAATATCTCACTTCACATCAAATCCTAATCTTAGCCGCCAGCCCCCCTGCTGGAGAAGAAAAACTAGTCACTGAAAAGAGAGCCAACCGCCACCACCCGCAACGCTGGAGCCACCTCCGACCATCAAAAGAGGTAAAAATTCTCACAGTCGCTCAAAATTTGATTTTGACCACCTCCATGGCCAAATTGGAGCAAAAGAACAAGCAGATGAGCTAAAAATCGCAAGTAAAGCCCGTCACCGCCGCCTTGAGAAAAATAAAAAATCACCTCCGGTGAGGCCTTTCCCGATTCTCGTTTCGTACAATTTTTTTACCATTGTATTCACCATTTTGTTTTTCACAGGTTGACCGAAGAAAAACGTCCAACCG